CCCCAGCCACGCCAGGGTGGGTAGCTGGGACCGGCGTGCCATGGAGGGCGAGGAGGCCGCAGCGGTGGCGGCGAAGGCAGTGCTGCGCACGCCCAAGTGCTCCCGCTGCCGGAACCACGGCTTCGTGGTGCCAGTGAAGGGCCATGCCGGGCACTGCCGGTGGAAGCTCTGCCTGTGTGACAAGTGTGCCCTCATCACCGAGCGCCAGAAGATCATGGCAGCCCAGAAGGCCCTGAGGCAGCAGGTACCTGACCCCCCGGCTGGGCCCGCCGCAGGGCCCGTTCCTCTGGGCAAAGGTATTGGGGCAGCCAGTGCCCCTGAGCAGAGCAGCCACGAGGGGATGAAGGGTGCCCACCCCACCGGCAGCAACAGCAAAGGCATGACGTGCAGGGGACCGCTGCCACCACCTCCCAGCAGCTCTCCCTTCTGGGACTATGGTAAGGACCTGTCCCCAAAGCCTCTTTCTTTCCACATTCATTCTCCTCTACCCCCATCAAACACTGCCACTTGAGCAGCTTGCGCCTCAGGCTCCCCAGAGAGCCATTCATGCCATCTCTCCTGCTTTCCTTCCTCAGGTACCCGGCTTGCATGTTGAATGTGCAACCCTGCATTTATTCTCCCTCCTGCAGGGTCTGCAATGCAGTCATGCAGCTCTGCAGGAGCAATGTGCTGAGTCTTGCTGCTCGTTGCAAAATTGAAGATTGATCCAGTGGCTTTTCTCTAAGAGGGAAATTAGTCTGGGAGGGAAACCCGACTGTGATTCAGTGTGTGCTGCAGGTGCTCCTCCGTATTTCTGAGTGCTGTCTCACTGTTTTTAAATTCACAGGCACAAGCCTCCAGCAACAAAAATGCTAAAAAACTCAGTAAACAGGGAAGTAACTGCTGCAGTTGCCTGAAGCAAGCATTTTATGATAGCCCTTTAAAAGAAAGAGACTGAACTTGGCTGGGATCACTTGCTGTAAAAGTGCATTTGGTGTGTAAGGGCAGAGCACAGATTTTGCAGGTGGAACAGTTGTATGGTCAGTCACCTCTTAAATTGCTGCCTTTAATAGAGTCTTTCATCTGACTTGTCTCGTTTATTACTATGAATTTCAGTAACTTCATGCTATTCCTATTTACTGTAGTAATTTTACAGAAATCCCTACTGACTGCAGTAGTCATTAGTCTGAGCCTCTGGAGAGCTGGCAGCCTGCAAGACAAAATGCTGTTCTGAGAAGCCCAGAGGAAAGACGGATTCTGAACATCTCTAGTTCCCACCTAATCTGTCATTAACTGTTCCCCCCTCCCCTTTTTTTAGCTTTGTTTTCTAAGAAAATTATATTTATGGGTATGTGCCTGTCAGACCTTCCCTTAACAACATTTTTAACCTGCTGACCAAGGTATTAATTCTAGTACTTAAGAAGTCAACCTCCTCTCAAAGCAAATTCTTCCAGTTCTCTATCAACAGGAGGGTGTGCAGACACAAAAGACCCTATTTGTATTCAAATAACCACACTCTTCTTTTTTAAGACTTCAGAGAAACCATATAAGATTACAGATGCAAGATAAAACCAAAGGAAGTAACTCCTTTCTGCATCTGAAATTGCTGTGTGTGTTCCCAAAACTGAGCCTTTACCTGTAGATTAATTTAAGAAGTTATATATAGGACTAAAGTTAGAATTCTATCAGCAGATTTTTGGTTTAAGTTCTGCTAGAGTTAAAAGTCTTAAGGTAGGTTGCTTTGTTGTTGCTCGTGTACTGAAAGATAAGATTCTGCAGCCAGTGCTTAACTAAGGACTAGCTTCACAAGGCACAAGGCAGAAAAGAATTCAGATCGTTCTGTGTTACAGGCTCATCTGCTGCACCTTTCCTCAGTTCCTTAAAAAATCACAAAATAAATTCATGAGAGGCTAAGCATGAAACCAAAGGCCAGGTCCTCCTGCCCAAGAGTGGAATTCAGTCCTGCAGCTGCATCCACTGAACTCCGCAGAATTATATGGATACTTCTATTTTTCTTTTCTCATTTTTCCGTAGCTCACCCTGCTTTTCCTCCAGAATACATGGTCAAAACAGAATACCTGGAGAGAGAACCTCCGAAAGTGTACCCTGGATGTTCTGGGGTATATCCTTACCACCCATTTCCCATGGGATTTGCCATCAGTGAGTCAAGCTGTAGGGGAGCACCATCACCTCCAGGGATACCACTTCAGAGAGGTTTCCGACACATTTCTAGCAACTATGGGCCAGGGAATGCAGCTTCTGTGTCAGTAAGTAGCAGTCTTTTAATTATGTCTGGAAACACTGCTGTCTACTTTTAGCTGCATTCTTGCTGTTAAAGTACCCTGAAAGTTACCCTGCTTATCAGTTACCTCACTGCATTTTGGTATGTTACGCTGAAGAAAACATTAGCAAATGGTGGTGTTAATAGTCTGACCTGAACCCAGAAGAGCAAACCCATGAACGTGCAACGGGCCAGATCTTGTCAAGTGTTTTGGGGCTTACATATCCTGCTACCATCTGCAGCAGCCTTTTGGAATGATGGCAGTTGGACAATTAATACGGTCATGTTGTACCGATGTAGATGGCACAGAATACACAGAGGGAAGTTCCTCTTCCTCAGTGCAGGGCACATCTAATTGGGGGGGGGGGGGGAGAGTGTCAGGGCTTAGCCACAGCTGTAGAGAAGAACAGGGGATTCCCTGTCACATTTTAGGGGTTATTGAGAAAGAGGGTGGATAACAGCACTCTGAGGTCCAGATAAATTATTCTCTACACACAAAGCCTTGTCTAGACCATCTCTGTATGTGGTATTGAACTATTTTTAACTGTTCTGAAATAGATGGAAAGATCTTATACAAGTTTTATCTGTACCAGGGCACATGGCCAGATCCAAAAGAAAAATGCCCCTATTTCTCTCATGCTAGTGTTTCTGAGGGATGGAAATACCTTGTTGCATGTGGAATGAGTTTTATCATGCTCTAGTAGGTCTGGTGATCACAGCAGACCAGTCCTGTGGGGTACCCAGTGGGAGGTAGAGCCACTCACTTCCCTGGGCTCAGGGGAGAATCCATAACTGGGATGGAGGTGGTGGCAAGGAGCATTTTCCTAGGTTGCCTCTCTGTTGCATGAAGACTTCCAGACTTGTTCAGTGGCAAGTGCACCGGGTCACTGGTGGACAAAAATAATTAATATTCACAGGTAAAAATTGAAACAGAAATTGTTTGATACTGCAAATGCATCCTGGAGAGAGTCTTCAGATGGAAGATGCTTTTCTTCATGTGTTCCCACAGATTCCAGATGGAGGTGGAGATTTACATCAAGGATACTATGCTCCTCTGCCTCAGTTCATCCCACCAAGTTTTCTGCCAGGGATTCATTACATTCCACCTCCCCTTTCACTGAACGTGTTGGCTGAAACAACCAAGGAAGCACATGGTAAGGGAGTGTGAGATGAGCCCAGTTTTAACCTGGTTTCACTATCTAACCACAGAGGTGGAAGCCCCAAGAGACCCCAATTCTAGCTAGTTCACAGGGGCTCCCAGCTCCCTGTGATGGAGGCAGGACTGAGATCCTGCAGTCCCAGGAGGGATTGCCAGCTTGTCCAGCTCTGGGAAGGGCTCCCTTAGGGGGAGCAGCCTGACATGCTCGGGCTTTCCAGCTGCCAAGCACCTCAGTCCTGCACAGATGCTGAAGGCCCCAAGACTCAGAGCTAGTCCAGAACATGAGCTGTTGCTGTTCTCAAAATGAAAATATTTTTCTAAACAGCCAGATTGCAGGGCATGTTTTAAAAATTATTTGGCTTTGATGCAATTTAGACAAAATGTTAAAAAAAAAAAAAAAAAGAGGACTAACAGCATAAATAAGACAAAATTTCTTGCTCATCTGAAAATCCTACATTTTAATTGGTGTCAATGAAAGATTGACTTGTTTTATTGAATCTCACAGGATTTTAAATTTCCAGCATAGGTTAAGTCTTTGTGACCTCTCTTTTGGGGTCTCTTTTATGTATTATGCCTACATGTGGACATAGTTGTGATTGTATTTGCAAGTTTTTCATTTGGCTGCAGCTGGCTGTGACCACAAGAGGGTAGAGCTGCTCAGAGAATTAACCACTGGCACTGGATGAGGGAATAGCCAGTTTTAGTTAAAATTCTTCCTGAAGATGCAGAAAAACAACTGTATTCCTTCTTGAACATGAGTATAAAAGATTGTAAATCTATATATGAAACAGGTTACAATAATCATCCAGTGAAAAATCAACTCTCTTGTATAAAAGGGAGGACATATAGAGTATAATAATTCTCATTTGAATTGAAAGGATGCTGGTGGTGGTTATGTGGGACAAAATACAATTTGGGTATTTTTTGGCCTGGTTTCTCAACAACATAAGGCTTGTGCAGTCTCATTTTCTGTTAGTGTCAGTCCTCTCAGAACTTTTCAACCCATTAGTTATTTTCAGCCAAACATATCTGTTGTGATCACAGGCCTACACAATATTTATCTGCAAGGGAAGCAGATGCCTCCCACACAACCATTTGTTTGCAGCCATGTCGTAGTGTTTGGCTGGCTGTCAGCTTGCACTCAATTCCTGACTGACGTGTGTGTACTTTGGCCAGCAACCAAATGCCTGCCTGTCAAGCCAGCAGTGAGCACGTATCTCCAGAGCAGTCGGAGCATACCTGCTTCTTGTCTGGCTGGAAAGCCAAAGAAAAGTAACCAGGAGATGTGGTGGATAAAGGGAATATGAAAAATATGGCAGTATGTCTGTGTGTGCGTGTGTATACAGACATCACAAATGTAAAGCTACTTGAAGATAATCACAAGGCATTAGGACTTCAATGCAGCATGTAGGGGTGTAAGGGGTGAAGTAATAGGGGCTGTGGCTGAAGGGAAGAGAGGAAAACAAGGGCTGGCAGGCAAACCAGGAAGTGTATGTAAGGATTAATGGGGTTTGTGGTTTGGAGGGGACAAAAGACGGTGGAAACTGCAGTGGCAGAGAACGTGTTGGGCGCGGCAGCAAGGAACGGTGTAGGTAGCTGCAGCTATTCTGTTGGAGTGCATGGGAATGGGAAGGAACTGGGAGTAGCAGCCAAACTTGAGGGACATGGAGAGAAGTAGTGGTATTGCATGAGGAAAACAGAGAAAATCCAGTCCTGTGTTGGTGAAGTTGTACTGGCCAAGCAGTCATGAAAACAGGCAACTGGATAGAGAAGAGAGGTCAGAAGAGCACACACACCCCCAGAGAGCAAAATGCCATCTAATGATCTCAGCCCTTATTGCACACTGGGGAAATGACAACCCAGGCACAAAGCCATCGGAAACAATGCATCATGGATTGTGCTCTCAGAGAACAATCCAGTTTTCTCAGTGCTACAGAGAAAGTATAATTTAATTCCACTACATTGCATTTGTGCTCCAGGGTAAGTAGTAATTTGGAACTGTGACCCAGTGAGGGGGGATATTTCTGCATGAGGTCATACATAAAATAGCCTGGCAGCAGAAGATGCAGATGTAGAGGGAAGCTACAGTGAAATTATTAATTCTTTGATTCTGATATTCAAGATGCTTGAAAAATAACATTTAGTGCATAAGGGTGTGTTAAGATTGCATCCTATCTTTTTTCCCAAGAAAGGAACTGTCTCAAACCTGCAGTCAGACTTGGGAACATCCTTCCTCCAGAGCAACCTCTGGAATAGAGGTGAAATGGGCTTTCTTGCAAAACTGTTGGAGGAAAATGGATATAGAAAACTCTAGCAGGGGACAAATGATGAGAAGACGTGTCTATGATCTGTGTCCCAAAGGGAATCTGAGATGAAGACAAATAAATAAAGTCCTGTTTGAAAAAGGTTCTCCAAGGCTAGAAGCTGCTACCAGAAAGATTTGAGTCAACAGTTGACTGCAGTTGAATGGCTGAGGCCTGTAAGGTTTACAACAGTGATACGAACTATAGGCCATGTTGTTACACAATTTAATGCAGTATTGACTAGCAAGGTTATGGATATTTGACAAAATAAACACAAGGTATGTCCAGTAAAGCAGCAAGTAGAGCATCTGAGGATGGAGCCTATTGCAGATGGTTGGCTTTCTAAAAGAGTAAGCCACAGAAAAACAAACCAACAAAACCCCCAAGTCGCCTGTGAGGAAATGAGGAAGCTTTTCATTCAAATTAGCGAGTAAATACTTTATAAAATGAAAATCCCTAGTTGGATTTGAAGCAGGGATTATTCAGTCTGTCACGGCCTTTGAGACTTCACAGGAGTGTTAAAAATGCATGGCTCAGAACCACTGCAGTTAAGTGGGCAAAGGAGCCTATTCCAGTGCAGCTTCAACACTAGCCTTCTTGAAGCACTCTTGCTACATTTCTTTAAGCATGGCTGAAACAATCAGCTGCTGTCTAAAGTGCAGGACATCAGCTCGCAGAGCTGCAGCTCTTGATGTCAAAAACCTTTTAATTAACTGCGTTGAAAAGAAACTGGAAATGTGATTGATACTGGGTGTAATGCAAATGGAAACACAGGGTTTGGGGTTCCTTTCTTTGTGTTTAATTCTGACCTTTTTCTACTCTGAATTTTTATTTCAGCTACTGAAGGTGACAGTCAGGATTCAGGGGCCGTTCGAGAACCTGGCCAAGAATCTTCTTCCCCAGAAGAAACCAGCAGAGATGAAGCTGTGTATTCTAAAGAATAAATGGGCTGGAGAAGAGCTGAGTAGCAGGCAGTGCTATTGAGGTTGTTAGTTAACATGAGGGTAGAGTGACTTTTAGTCACTGAGCAGTCACAACTGCTAGCAGAATGGGGTTAGTCCCCTGCCTCACTTCATGATCATGTTAGAGCTAGCTACCAGGCTCACGGCTCTGCCTCCCTCCCTACCCTTGTTCTTAAAAAAAGGTTTTTCAGAGCCATGGTAAATCCCTTCCCCTTTAAGCAGGTGGAAGCAGCAAATGATGGTGACTCTGAATTTGTTTCCTTTGCTGAGGTTCAATGGCTCTCCAACTTTGGAATGAGGTCTCCAGACCATGTACATTCCGTAGCCTTCTCCTGTTCATGACAATGTGTTGTTTGTGTATCAGTTTGCTGTAAAGGAAAGCTGGTTCTGAATAGTATAGAAGAGTTAAGTGATGTGGAGCCTGAAGACAGTCTGGGTTCTTAATTTACTTGGCTGCCTAGGAACGTGATTCACTGGATTCAGCAGGGTGTGGGAACAGTGGGTGCTTGTCAAGAAGGACATGGGAGGAATTTGCAGCAAGGTCTGGTGCAGGCTGAAAGCCAGTGCCTCTGCATTGCTTTTTCGGTGAGCTGCCTTTAAGGCACCTTCTGTTCAGGTTGGGGACAGAGTGATTTTGAACACCTCTTGTCACACAGGCTTCAGGATTTTCAATGTACTTGATGTTTTATACAGAATTTCAATGTTGTTTAACTTGGTACAGCTGAAACTCAACAGAGCTATTTGTTTCTAAAGGGCTCATGTAGACAGCTTTATACATGTGTATTGGAAGTGCACTGTGGCGTATCAAAGGTGTGGAGAAACTGCCTAGGAAAGTAGGACAAAACACCATTTAGGAAAATAATTAGTCAAATTGATATGATAATGTTTAATTAAAAAAGAAAGGTACACTGCTCTACAGTTTTGCCTAGAGGAATTGGTTTTGTATTAAGTGGATCAGTTGTTAATGTTTGAGTAATTGGGGGGGGGGGACGACTTTGTAGAATTAAAAAAAGATACATTAAACGGTTGGTCTGGCTTTGATGATTTGAAGCTTGCATATCTACACATACTTTTCTAGCCAAATGTCAGATGTTGCCCTGACTAGCTCTATATAACAAACTTGTCTGGAGAGAGATTCAGGCTTTAGTGTTTTTCTTCTACAGCTTTTCACTGCTGCTGTAGAGGTGAGTGCAGTAAAATAAACATCCCTCTTTTCTACTTGTACTAGCAATCCCTTGCTCAAGATGTAAAGTAATTGTACTAAGCTGATCTTCTCACAGTTATTTTTTTCAATGTAGTAGATGGTCTGCTGGAATGCTTCCCAGCACTCAGGGTTTTGGGGCAAAAGTGAAAGTGGCAAACTGAGACCTACCAAGAGGAAAAACTGAAACTCACCTGTATCTATAGCAAATAACCTGATGTACAACTTGTTATATACTAGATTTACAACAGGGTTGTTGCTCCCAGGAGTGTCCCAAAACTGCTCTTAAAACTGCTGTCTGCTTGGGAAAATCTGGATACTTCTTTAAGGTGTCTGGATAGAGCAAAGCTCTTTTCAAAATAAAATAATCTATGAATAGAAATACCAGCAGCAGCACAGAGCAGGTTCCTCTGTGTACAGAGGGTTGGTTTTTTATGTATATAATATAGTGATTTAAGGAAATAGTAATGCATGAGATGCATGGTTGAGTAATCTCCTTCCCAGATACTTTTCTAAAGTCATATTCAGTGTTATATTACTCCTTAAATCTCAAAGCAAATGGACTTCAGCCCATTTCACTAACACACAGCCATTGTTGATACACTGCATATACAGTACTGTTTTCTCTGTTGCTTCCAGATTGCCAAGCCAAACTCCTTGTTTTCCTTTCCTTCCATCCTTTTTTCCTCCATCTTTTTGAATTACCAGTGAGTGAACTACAGCCTTTATTTTGGCTGTCTGAACGATGGTATGGCACTCCAGTAGGATCTCTCTCACTTCATTGCTGCAGACCAGTGTCCATCTCAAGAGGGATATAGTGAGTTTAAAGAAGAGCCAGAGAAAGTAAACAAAGAGATGAAGGAGTTGCCTTACAAGGGGAGTCCAAAAATAGTCTTCAGTTTGGAGATTCTTGCACCTATCTCTGAATGGAAAAGTAATGACTTGGTAAGAGTCTGCAGTTGACAGGAAGAATTATCTTACGTGGACAATTCAAGGTTTCATTCTCCCATTTTATGCTCAGTTTGTCCTTTTTAACCGAGGAAAAAATGTTCTTTGATGACTGGTATTGTCATGTTGTGCACTTAAGGACTTCAAAGTGAATAATTTTAATTCCAAACTTAGTGCCAACCAGTGCTTCCAATAATTAAACTCTTCTGACTCCATTTATTTAAATAAATGACTTTGGGATAATGAAATCAATTTGGATTGAAATGGAATTATGTGGATTACACAAGTCACTCAGAGGTTGTTCCAGCCTAAATCATCCCAGAATTTTATTGTTTTTTATTAGAGCCTTAATAACATAGACTTCTAAGCAAATTCCTAAAATTTGGGAAGAAAAATGAAAAATGAAAGTTAGCTACAATAACTGCTTCTGAATTCTTTCTGCATGCAGGCTGCTGCTGACTGCAGGAGGAATTCTGCACATAGCATTTGTCATCATTATTATTTTCTGATTTCTGAGGATTGACACCCTTGCTAAATAGATCCGAACTTCTGAAGATGTGATTCCTGACACTTCTGTCAATCCTCTGTCCTCACTGCAAGCCCTTAGGTCACCACAGACTGACAGGCTTTGTTTGTACACCGAAGGGGAAACCCTGAAATGAGGAAGCAGTTCTTCAACGTTTCCTCACACCACTAATTTCATTACTTTCAGTGGAACTACTTGCGAGGGTACAGAGTTGACAATGTTGGTTAGGTATGCAAGTGTAGAATCCAAGTTTTACACAGAGGTGTCTGTGACACTCTCCAAAACCTCAGATTGTTGTAAATTTGCATTTTCTGCAGGAGGATTGGAAAAAAGAAAACAAACCCAAAGGATTCTAGAGGGATCATGTAATATGTCCATTCTGCAAACATATGTGAAGTTCGTTTGTCACTGCCCCGCAGCAGACCTCTGGATGTTAACACTGCTATAGTATCAGCCTCTACATCTGGACTGAAGCAGGTTTTCATATGACAGTAATTATAATACTGTATGTCTTTTCTTTCTTTTTCTGCTTGGAGTTAGATGCACCCAGTTGGAAACCTCTGAATCCACAGCAAGACTAAGGCTGTTTTTTCCACATTAATGAGTAATTAATTTTGAGCAGCAGTCCAAAGAAATACTTAATTCCCTACCAATAAAGTCAGCTTGCTGCAAACAAAATTCTCCCTCCCCTTAAAAAAATAATTTTCCTGACAGAAAAATTCTTTATGATGTGAAACATACCTATTTTGGAACAGTGGAAACTTTAATTAAATCATTCTTATGGGCAAGTGGGTCTGGTTTTCCTATTTTTTGGCCAATATTTTACTACTGCAACATTAGCATTAGTTACAGAGTTATGCTTTTACTTTGCTTGCCAGAACATAAGGGAGAAACCCAAATGTAAAGAAAGACTTTGTGGAATCTATTTCTGAAATCAGAGAGCACGTTTTATTGTAGTCCAGGCCATTGAGAGAGCTCCAGATCTACCAGACATGACCGGGCAGTGATGTGCCAGTTCACCCACCCATGGATTTTATTTCACTGTACCCTTACAGGTATGTCTTACATACAACCAAAGCATGAAGAGCCTAGATGAGACACTTCTGAAAACACACCCACCAAAACTACCAGGCTTCTTTTGGTATATTCTTTGGGTTTTTTCCACACTGGGTAACATTTTCCTCTTGTTTCCCTTTGCGGGCCCTTCCCATTAGCTCTTTGGATAGTGCCCTCAACTGGGCAACATTAATGGCAACCTGCTGACTACACAGTGCGATCCCCTATGGATCTAATGATGGGCCAGTTGCAATATCACACCATTTCCACTTTTCTTCTATGCAACTGTCTTTAGTGGAGGCATTTCTGGTTTTGTTTATTAACTATTTTCAGGGGTTTGTAGTCCTAGTGGTACAATCTACTCAAAAGTGTCCAGGCCACATAAATTGGAGCAAATACAAAACATTTCTTTAATAAAAGGTGGTTTAAATAAGTCATATGCATAGTTCCCTGGGAGCATCTTCCTAGTTTTCTAGAACAGGCTCTGTTTCCCATTAAGAAATGTGTTCTTTTGATCAAGATGCAAATCGACTGTTTCTCATGCTCTTCCAACAGTAAATATAAACTTACATTTGAATAGTTCAAGTCTCGTGTATCTGAATAGCTAATTTTTTTTACAATCCCTTCCTCATGCACTGTCTCACATGGTGAAATAGTTCTTTACTGCCTGTTGTTCCTCAGTCCTAGGATTACAAATTCGATTTTAAATATCTCTAACCACTTTGGCCATCTTCCTGCCTCTCTTTCCAAAGGCATGAACAAGCCTCGTAATCCCATTGCCCCAAAGCTGCCCAGCTTTGTAGTGAGACCTGCCTGGTTTACTTCCCTTACTGTCCCAGTCTGCAGCTGTGTTTTCTTTTTCCTCAAATACTTTACACTATTTTTCATGGCCAGAGCAATGATGGCATCTGGATGAATCAGAGAAACAAAAGTTAAAAGAAAAAAAAAAAGAGAAATAACCAAAAAATTTTCATCTAAAGAAGCAAAGCATACTCAAAGGAATACTCTATAGGAAGATGAAAATCAGAACCTGGACTTGGGTTTCCTTATAGGGCTGGGAGTGACTTGAGGAAGCCAACTCTCCATCATCAGCCGGTGATCATCACCAGGAAGGTCCAAGGGCTGTGCTCACACACCACCACTTCGCTTTTGAAGACCGAGGTGCTATCAATATACTTCAGCCAACGTGTACTTCAGACATTGTAGAGAAGGGAGGTGTCACTACACCCTTCCCCACAGCGATAGCCCCAC